CACACTGCGGTAAGTAACTCCTAAAGTATTTTCAATTATATCTTTGTAACAAGTCTTTACATCGAACAGAAATAAACCAAGTAATACGTCATTGGACTATTATTGTGTATGCGCCTTTTTTGACAACGTTACTTGCGTTAAATTCGCAAGCGGGTTGACGACAATTCCTTTATTTCGCAGTGAAATACATAATTTATTTCACTGACTGATTGCCGTTTATGGAAAGTTCTCGACGTTCCTCAGTCATCGCCTATACACATACGTACATTTTTGCACTTGCCGCCGCAAACGAACAAGAACTGTAACTATTCTTATTGGAATTATTTGTATGTGGGACTGAAAAGTCGAATTTCGCATTTGCCAGCCAGGGAATAATTTAGCCGTATTTTATACACTGAATTAAGGAGTTTATTTGCAACTCGCATACATTTCATATTTTTATTTGCCGTTCATAAAGAACCTGCCGCTTTGTTTAATCTTGCAATTAGCCGCATTGCATGCGTAAGTCTTCGTACCGACGTCCATGATATGACTATGCGTTCACCAGTTTCTAAAGCCACTACATCTGCCTCAGTGGCCGACCCGCCGAAGTTAGTATCGGATTCCGGCACTGCTGCCGACATCATTGATTTGCCAAACACTCCCGAAGCCGAGGGAGTTAGTACTCGTGCCTCATCTGCCGCCCGCCAGGAAGCGATGTTTCAGGCTATGCAGAAACGCATCGCCACGCTTGAACGCAGTCTGAAGGTTGCCCAACAGAAAATAAGAGAACACGAGTTAGCAAACGAAGCCCAACGCGCAGATGCGCAAAGCATATCCAGTGCACCCAGCGACAGTTCCGCCAACGAATCTGCCTTGCCGTCATCGAGCCTGCCAATGACACAGTTCCAGATTCTTCACCCGCAATCGCCGATCGTAACGAGTGCTGCTACCAATGTAGATGCTGTGCAGCCGCTGTTGCCACCTCATAACGCTACACGTTGCCCGATGTATACCGCCACTCGTGTCTCGCCGCCCATTTACACATCTTCAACAAATGGTTCAGCTGTAACAACAGCAAATGGTATGTACCCCAGCTCGACTTTACCTCCGCACGACGCGTTTCTTAACAGTCTTTCGTCAACGGTGCCAATTCCTGCTAACGTAGGCTCCGTACCTGCGCAGTTTTCAACTCAGCCAAGAAAATTGCAAGATTTGCCGGAGTTTAGTGGGAAGCCGGAGGACTGGCCGATATTTTTTACTGCTTACACCGAGTCAACCGCTGTCTATGGGTACAGCTGTTTTGAAAACAACTTACGCCTGCAGAAGAGCTTAAGGGGTGAGGCCCGAGAGGCTATTAAATCGCTGCTTATCCACCCGAACAATGTGGGCAATATCATCGAGCAACTTAGGTTCCGATACGGTCGCCCGGAACAATTAATTCGAAGCCAGCTAGCCCATGTTCGAGAAATTGCTCCGATATCGGAAAGCTCAGTAGTAAAGTTGATACCATTTGCGACGAAGATTGCCAACATTTGTGCATTTTTACGTTCTGCGTGTGGCGGAGAGCAGCATTTAGCGAATCCAACGCTTCTTGATGAGCTCGTTGGAAAGTTACCCATGAGCAAGCGTATCGAATGGGCAGTTTTTGCATCGTCTTTGCAGCCTTATGCAACGGTTCAGCATTTCAGCGATTGGCTTACTAAACTTGCCAATGTCATCTGCACGGTTTACGACGGGGAAACAGCGAGAGACTCGAAGCGCCGGGTTGTGCTGCACGCTGCCGAATCACAACGCCATCCAACTTGCCCTATTTGTCAGGGCCAACATAAGCCAGCCGACTGTAGCCAGTTCAGCCAACTTACAGTGCCGAAGAGGTGGGAAGAAGTGAAGCGACGCCATCTCTGTTTCTCATGTCTCAACGCTGGACATGGGTCGCGCAATTGCCAAAGGCGCAAACCATGTGCCACCGACGGGTGCAAACGGTTTCATCATAAATTGTTGCACGAAATTGAAAAAAACTATCGACGGGTCATCAAACCAGTCATTGCCGCCTCGAGATCGCAACAGACGTGTTTCCATTGCCGATCCACGTAAAACGATTAGCACGCAGACGCAGCCAGCGTCGCGTATTCAGTCGCAAGGCGATACGGGTGTAGCAGTCCTTAGTTGCAGTGCAAACGTTGCCGATAGCAAGTTGTTATTTCGGATTCTGCCGGTCGTGCTGTATGGGAACCAGAAGCTCGTTGAGACGTACGCCCTTTTTGATGAAGGTTCGTCAATAACAATGCTTGACAACGCACTAATTGAAGAGCTCGGGTTACGTGGCCGGACTGAACGCTTGAACCTACAGTGGTTCGGAGGACGTGCCACCCAAGAGCCAGCCGTGGTGGTAGACTTACTCGTGAGTGGTGCCAATATGCAAAAGAGACATAAACTACGAAGGGTTTATGGTGTTTCAAACCTGCAGCTACCTTCTCAGAGCCTGAGTAAAGCCGATTTGCGTTGCCATGAAAAACATTTAAATAAGCTGGCAGTTCAGCCATACGCGCAAGTCAAGCCAAAGCTGTTAATCGGACTCGACCACTGCCACCTTGGTTTGCCGTCAACCACAATGCAGCTAAACAAGTGTGGGCCGTTTGCCGCGAATACTGAGTTGGGATGGGTTGTGTTTGGACCAACAACCAACTCTTATCCGACATTGCCATCATGTTTATTCGTTAACTGCCACACTGAGCAGTCGCTACACAATGCGGTTGCCGAATATTTCGAGACGGAAAGCTTTGGGGTTCGAGCTGCGCCTGCCATCGAGAGTGAAGCTGATATCCGTGCTCGCGAAATCTTGAGGTCCACTACGTGCCGTGTTGAAGGAAGATATCAGACTGGTCTGCTCTGGAAGCGTCCCGACATACAGCTACCTGCGAGCTATGCTATGGCCTTGAGGAGATTAGCGGGTATTGAAGCAAAAATGAGGCGCGATACAAACTTTGCCGCTGAATATAAGCGCATCATGAATTCCTACGTCGCGAAGAACTACGCAAGAAAGCTGTCGCCAGAAGAAGCCGCTTTAACCAACGATAGGACATGGTACTTGCCTCACTTCGCCGTCAGCAATCCCAACAAGCCAGGCAAGTTACGTATGGTGTTCGACGCGGCTGCTGAGGTGGACGGTGTGTCCCTCAATTCACAGCTCATGAAGGGTCCACAGGAATATCGGCCTTTGCCTGCTATACTATTTCACTTTCGTGAAGGAGCAATAGGCGTGTGTGGTGACATCAAAGAGATGTTCCACCAGGTGCTGGTTCAACGTGACGATAGACGTGCGCAACGATTTCTTTGGCGCAATGGTGATACCACCAGACAGCCCGAAGTGTATGAGATGCGCGTAATGACCTTTGGAGCAGCATGTTCGCCTTGCGCCGCCAACTATGTGAAGAAGATCAACGCGTTAGAGTATCGCAAAAAAGTCAGTGGTGCTGTCCGAGCCGTGAAATCGATACTGGACTACCATTATGTCGATGACTATGTCGATAGCTTCGACACAGAAGAAGAAGCAGCTGACATCACGAAACAAGTTCGAGCAATACACAAGATGGCCGGTTTCGATCTTTGCAATTTCGCGTCGAACTCGTCAAGAGTGACAGAAGCCCTTGGTGGCGACGGAGCTACCCGTCAAATAGCCAAGAAGGAAGGAGTACTGGTGGACAGAGTTCTCGGTTTGTTTTGGCAGGCATCGACCGACACCTTTGGATTTAAACTGAAGTTCAACAACGTAGAATCCAGCGTATTGAACGGAATGCGCCGTCCGACAAAGCGAGAACTCCTCAGCGTGGTCATGTCCATCTTCGACCCGCTGGGATTTCTGAGCAATTTTGTAGTGAGTGCTAAGATACTCATGCGGGAGGTGTGGAAGCATGACATCCGGTGGGACGAACCATTGCCAAACAACGTAAACGCCGCATGGGAATGCTGGCGTAAGCAACTTTCAACGGTCGCCGAATATGTCGTTCCTCGGTACTATTTTCTAAACGGCAAACCTAAAGCTCTGCAGCTCCATGTCTTCGTCGACGCTAGCGAGGATGCCTTTGCTGCGGTGGCCTACTGGAGGTCAACCAATGCCGTCGGTGAGGTGGAAGTCGCATTTATCTCCGCAAAAACCAAATGCGCGCCGATGAAGTCTTTGACGGTGCCTCGATTGGAGCTTCAGGCAGCCGTGCTGGGTACGCGTTTAATGAGCTGCGTCCGGGAGCAACACTCCTTGGACATTGATGACTGCATCATTTGGAGTGACTCCAAAACGGTAATCCAGTGGCTTCGCAGCGAACATCGGCGCTATAAGCCATTTGTGCAGCATCGGATCGCCGAGATATTAGCCGCAACTACTACCGCAAATTGGAGATGGCTACCTACCGAGGACAATGTCGCCGATGAGGCCACTCGAGCTAATAACTTTATCGACTTCAGCTCATCTGCACGTTGGACCTGCGGCCCACCATTTTTGTTACGAGAAGAGCAGGCTTGGCCGTCAGAGGGCTTCACATGACATCATCATGAGGAAGCGGACAAGGAACTTCGCCCTAAATTCGCCCTTGCGATCGTAAGTTGTACATTTTTAGATTATAACCGATTCTCTTCATTCAGCAATCTGGTGAGGACGACAGCATGGGTCCTGAGATTCATTGACATTTGCCGCCGCCGTAATCCACCAGAACGATGCTATGGGCTGACAGCCAAAGAAGTCGAGACTGCTAAGCTTTGTTTGTGCCGTCTTGTTCAGCGTGGTGAATACGCCGAGGAGTTTCAGCAGATCGAAAGCGGCCAGGACCTACCACGCACCAGTTCGCTTATTCAACTTTCGCCTTATATTGATGAAGACGGTGTTCTTCGTGTACGAGGACGCATAGATGCTGCCAGCTGGCTCCCAATATGCTCGAGGCGCCCAATCATACTGCCGCCAAAGCATGATTTTACAACTCTGGTCACCATGCACTACCACATCAAAATGCATCATCAAAATCTAGAAGCCACTATTTGCGAGATACGTCGCTGTTACAGGGTACCACGCCTCAGAAGTTTGCTGCGCAGTGTAGTCGCCAAATGCGCCGTATGCCGCCTAAAGAAAATCCACGCCGTGCCACCATTGATGGGTCCGCCTCCGATTGATAGGCTAACTCCCCATATCAGGCCGTTCAGCTATACGGGCCTTGATTACTTTGGACCGATAACAGTAACTGTTCGTCGCGCCAACGAAAAAAGATGGGTGGCGTTATTCACGTGCCTGACCGTCAGGGCTGTGCATTTGGAGTTGGCCCATGACCTCAGCACTGACTCATGTATAGTCGCAATGCGGAACTTTATAAATCGTCGCGGCGTTCCCGTACGCATCAGGTCCGATAATGGGAAGAACTTCGTCGGTGCTGACATGGAAGCAAAGCGCTTCAGTGAAGTATTCGATTGCGATCGCCTGCAGAGTGAGCTGTCGCAAAGGGGCGTAGAGTGGATTTTTAACTCGCCTTTCAACCCGGCAGAGGGGGGCGCTTGGGAACGGTTGGTGCAGTGCGTCAAGAGGGTACTACGACACACGTTGAAGGAAAGGTCGCCACGGGAGCACACGCTCAACTGTTTCCTCATCGAGGCGGAAAATATAGTGAATTCTCGGCCGCTGACGCACTTGACCATCGATGCCAACCAGGAGCAGCCGCTGACTCCTAATGACTTCCTTCTGGGTGAAGCCAACACACCGCAAACTCCGATTGCCAACGAAGTTCTGGAGAAGACGTGCCTTCTGCGACAACAGTGGCGTCTTGCCCGACAACTAAGGGACCATTTTTGGAAGCGATGGATAGCGGAGTACCTCCCCACATTGACACGCCGGGTTAAGTGGTGCCAGAGAACAAAACCTCTGCAGATAGATGACCTCGTCTTCACATGCGATCCCAATGTATCTCGCCGGGACTGGTGCCGAAGTAAGGTGGAACGCTTGTATACGGGAGCAGATGGTGTGGTCAGACGAGTGGACGTACGCACTTCCGGTGGATTGAAGCGACGCGCCGTCTCCAAATTGGCTGTTCTGGACGTCGAAGGTAGTGAATCGGGCTAATTCACGGGGGTGGGGATGTTGGGAACTCCTGCCTTTGACATAATTTCAATTTCATGCATTTCAATTTCATGTACTTCATTTTTGTATTTTATTTTTAATGTATTCCATTTCGATGTTCTCATTTATTTTCAAATACCTTTCATACATACATATGTTACTCTCATTATTTAGAGATACATATGTACACATATGTGTTACTAGTGCCCTATGTATCCCATGTATTTAATTTGCCGCTAACTCTTTGCATGCACGTATGTACATATGTACATGTCCGCGGAATAGGTACGGTCAATGCAGTATTGCCCTTTTCGTTTTGTTTTTCTGGTCGTATGCATATGTACATGCATGTAGGCAGAGCATTGGAGTTGTTTGTCGCGGAGTTGTGCCTTGTAAATATGTATGTACAAATTAATGTTAGGTTTTTTTGTGTACATACATACCGCAATGTGTCGTTCACTCGATTACCGCTGCCATAATTTGGTTGATCTGCTGGCGCAAGTCAACCTCAAAGTCAGTCGTCAACCAAAGGGATCGAGTGAAGG